AGGAGAGGCCTTTCCAGGTGCGGAGGATGAAGCCCGAAGGATGGCTCCTCAGGCTCTCTCGTCTCTTGCAGAACTTCGAAACGGCCGTGCGGGAGAACGTCACCGTCGATGGGCAGCCCTGGGGGGAGATTTCGGGCGACTCCGAGCAGCAGGGGGGTATGCCTTGCTTTCCTTTCGTTTTCCTGCTGTGTTTTTTTGTTGTGGTTTCTGCACGTGGGGGTTTTGATTGGGCAGTTTTTCCCCCCAGCTGTCTGCAGCAGTAAGGATGCTCACAGAGCAGGTCAGACTCTAGCTCAGATGTGATCCTGAAAAGGTGCACAATAGATCTCGAGGCACAAGCTTCAGCTGTCACTAGCATGGTGCTTCCCTTGGCTGCCACAGAAGCTTAGAGGCTCCCAGTGTATCTGATAAAATAAAACAAAGGTTTCACCAAATTTAATAGCAGCTGCCTTGCCAGAAAGTCTACAGCAGACTTTTAGAAAGTCAGTATTACAAAGCAAGATTTTTTCATTTGGGAGGTTAGGGAAGAGTGTGTTCATTTCATTTTAAAAAAGGGAGTATTCAAAATGTAATGGAGTAGGGTAAGTTGACCTGTTTCTAAAGCCACAGCACTGCAACAGGGCCCGTATTTGGAGGCTTCACAGTCTGTCTGGGCAGCAATTTTCTGTGACATGTCTGTGATAATTTTTTTCCCTGTGGCCTGTTGAAATTTTCCTTTGCTGCATCATACCTGTTGTCTCTCATCCTTCTACTGCACACCTCTGAGAAAAGCCAGCCTCTTTCCTCTCTAGAACCACCCTTTAGATAGCGGAGGGTAGTGCCTAAATTTCCCCTTAGCCTTCTCTTCTCCAGGCTGAACAAACCCAGCTCCCTCAGCTGCTTCTCATACGTCATGTGTTGTGGTTGCCAACCCTCTTGGTGTTCTTCCATTGGAATTGCTCCAGTATTCAATGACACAGCCTTCCAGAGCATCCAAACTAGGGTGTTACAGTCCAGGTATGTGAGAATCCTGGCTGGATCATTAAGCTCAGAGGGTAGTATTTAATGGTTCATATTTTTACCTCAGAGCTCATTACAGGTTCTTCAGATGTCTGCTCTGTGACCTGTTCTTTTTGATGTCTTTATCCATCACCAAGTAGGAGATGGAAGGTATCTTCAACCAATTTGCAGCTGACATTAGCCAAGCCAGTGTGCAGTGACCGTGCTCAAGAGCAAGCCAATTCAGGGGAACTAACCCTGAGCCAGCCTAGTATATTGTGTTAACCAGAGCGTAGTTAATAGATCCAAGGAAGTTGTTATTTGCCTTTACTCTACACTTACTAGAGCACATCTGAAATAGAACTCATTTTTGGACTCCAGTATAGGGAAATCGTTGCTAAACTGGAGTGAGTTCATTAGAGGCTGCCAACACAACCAGAGGACTAGAGCACTTGCCCTGTGAGTTGAGACTGAGGGAAATGGGCTTGATTAGCCCAGAGAAGACAAACCAGCCTTTTCAGAGGAGGTTACTGAGAATGTGGAACCAGGGTATTTATTGAAGTGCACAGAGGCAAGAGTCATAAATAAAAGAGGACATTCTGACTTAATATAAGGAAGTAAGAATTCACTGTTAGGGTAACTGAGCATTGGAAAAGGTTTCCCAAGGAGCTTGTGTGATGTCCAGTACCGGGGGCTTCCAAGAACAACTGGATGAAAAGTCCTGAGCAACCTCATTTGAACTGGGTGCTGACCCTGCTGTGAGCAGGAGTCTTGAGTCAAGAGGGGTCTCCTGAGGGCCCTTCCAGCCTGAGAGATCTTATGCTGGGGACATTGGCCAAGATCTCTTCCTGTCAAGACAGCCAGTAGTTTGTCTGTCGCTACTGTTTAATATACAAGCTAAATAAATGTTCAAAATTATTTCTATATAATCATATATTTATATGTAATATATATAATGTGTTTATAATTACTGTCTTTTGAATAATAGTAGTGGAGATTCTTGGTAGTCTGGTGTCCAAAATTCATTTGCTCACCTGTGTTAGCGTTAGATGCTCTTTGCCTGCAACTTGCACAAAGCTGAAAATGCAGATATATTGAGCTGGCTATGGACAAATAGCTCCTTGAACTGTTTTTTGGTCAGGAAGCTTCTGCAGTTTTAGTTCTAGAATGATAAAACTCCAACTCCTTTGACTACAAGGTCACAAATTGACCTCACGATGCAAAACGCTGGTTCAGGTTCACTTCACTAATTGAGATTTCTTTGAAAATTCGTAACAGGATTTTCTTAACAGGACAACTTTGTCCAGATGGAAGTTATTTTCTGTAAGTAAGCCTGTGTCTGGACAAGTCTAACTTTTTCCAGCTGAGATACTGTCATCTTCTTGCAGCTGGCATAAAGCAGGTGTAAGGACTGTATTGTGCTTTTTAATTTGACATAAATTTAGTCGTGTGCCCATCTGTCATGCAGTTTGCATCACCAAGTGATCTGACATCTTGGGCCTTCATTGTTTGCATAGACCAGTGGCTCTAGTCTTTCCTCTTTAAATGATTTCATGGTGATCCTAAAACAAACAACAAAACAAACCCACAAATTTAAAATCTTGATTTTGCCTTTCTGAAACTGACCAAGAGAGGGTGCTCAAAATCCATTCTTTACCACTGGATTGAAAACATTGCATGATTTCCAAGTTGTGCTCAACGTGTTAGTGGGAACAGTGAATTTAAATGCTAAGGAGTTTATAAAATTACATAAAAAATAAAAAAGCAGCACTATTATCAATGTTTTAAATCTCCACTGAGGAGAAAAATTACAGGAGTGTGCAGATGGAAGAATATACAAATATGCATTACCTTTCCATTACAAACAGTCGGTGTAAAATTGAGCAGTTACTTCTGTTTTCTTCTATAATACTTAATTTTTTATAGTTTGTAATGGTGGCATGTGATGTCAGGAAAGTGCAGGCTTGTACTTGTCTAAATTTTGAAACCAGTTTTAAAATAGTATCTGAAGGTATTGTTAAGTTGAATTGCAATCTTGGGGAAGCTAAGTACCTGTTGTAGGATAGCAGCAGTCAAAACTCTTCAGTCAAAAGATGAAAATACGTTCTCGGTATTTAGTCTCATTTTAGCATTGGAAAAGCAAGCTGTGGAAGTTGGCTCCTACCGCATACACTCTCTTGGGCCTCAGGTGTTGAAAGCAGGCATGTTTAGGTTTTTGTAAACTCCTTATGACTAGTAATTACAGATGTTATCCAGGAATCATGTTTCATGAAGGTGGCATTGCATATTGTCATGTTAAACTGCATGCTTCTGCTATATATGATGCAAAATCAGTTAGGCTTCAAATTACTATTTGGGCAGTTGGTGTTTGCATAATACTTGCAAATAACACAGATAAACAATTTTTCTTGTTCTGTCTTGCATTGCTTTTCTTCAGTTGGAAATCAAGTTCTCTCAAAAGATAGCAATTTCTTTGTGAGACTTTCTTCTCAGTTTCAGAGTTCACAGAGAAATAAATTTCTGATTTTTTTTTTTCCGGATGGTTCTCCACCTCCTGCCACCCCCAACTCATTTGCTTCAAACTGGCCAACGTCAAGTTGTTCTACAATTTCTGTCACCTTAACAAGGAGATCCAAGACATACATTTGTCTCTTCTTTGATAATCGTGCATGGATTTTTATTTAAGATCTAAAGCTGTTTTTTTTTCCTCATAACTTCGTCTCAAATTAAAAAAAAAAAAGAAGTAGAATTCCTACAATAACTTTGTGTGTTTGTTGTTTTTAGGTTCCAGCATTAAAATTCTTGAAGATGAATTTGATGACCTAATAGTAGAGACAGCAACAAAGCGTAAGCAGTGGCCTAAAAAGATATTGATGCATTGTATCCAAACCATGAAAGCAGAGCAAGATATGTTGGTGAGTAACCTAAGATTTTCAGAAAACTTTTGCATATAGTGTCTGCTGACTGTGTGTGACTTGAAGAAATAAATCATCCAATGTTGACTGCTAAGCTCTTTCCCATAGTTGCTTTTGATCCTTTGTCATATAATGAAATTGTTTCTTTGCATTAATTTGTTCTTCAGTGAAATGAGGGTTCCTACAAAGTGAGCGAATTGGGCCTTTGGCACACACGGGTGAGCAAGTTACTCAGGCAGATTGCTTTGACATGATGATTCACGATCTACAAGGCAGTATACACCTATTTATCAAGATCTGGGTTTCTGAAATCTTTGGCTGAAGGCTAGTCGAAGTACTAAATGTTATTATACATACAGATAGATATTATGATGTGTAGCATATGACTGTTAAAGAGATGGCTGTGTTTTCCTAAGTGCTTTTGTTGCACTAATAACTACACTAAGTACTTCCAATAAAGAAAGAAAAAAAAGTAGTAATGTGGCTTAATTAATAGGTGCAGTAATTTCTAGTTTTTAACACTGAGCATAAACTAATTACTGACATAAAACAACCCAGTCATGTCCTCAGTTGCTGAATTTCTCTCCTGCAGTTACATTAGGCCTGCCTTTTGCTTGCCTCCTGATTAATTAAAGTCAATTTCCTTTGGGGGGGAAACAAAAAAAAAAAGGAAGAAGAGGCAGTGGGCATAAATGCAAATACAGGAAATTCAACTTAACCATTAAAAAAAAAGTAATTGTGAGGGTAATCAAACACTGGCACAAGTTGCCAGGTTGCCCAGTGAGACTGTGGAGTCTCCATCCTTGGAGATACTCATGAGGATATTGAAAGCCTCACTGGTTGAGGCCCTGGGCAACCTTCTGTAGTTGGCCCTGCTTTCAGTAGAGGCTTGGACTGGACCATCTTTAGAGGTCTGTTCCAACCTCAGCTGTTCTATGATTCTATACTAAAGGCATCATGGATTTGTTTGGGTTTTTGTTGTTGGTTGTTTTTTTTTAAAAAAGCTGTTTTAAGAGCCTGCATTGCATTTCTGAGGACTAAAATAACTCTAGGTTAGCCAGGCAGAAATTATTTATAGTAAGTAAAAGTGCACAGGTATATATATTTATCCCAAACCTGAGGTATTTTCTAACATACATTGTCTTCTGTGTTCTCTGTTTTATCAATATGTCAAGTACGTAAAACAAACAAAATAAACTAAAATAAAATATGCCGTTGCATAACACCAAGTTTTAACGAGACCTTTTAATCTTTCTGCAAAAGGAAAACTATATTCTGCTTGAGTCCCAAAGTGCATTAGTTATTTAGAATGCCTCTCAAGCTGCCTTTTTCTGTTGCTGATCTCTTCAGATTTTACACCACCACCACTTGATGATTATTTTACTTTGAAGCGTGTACAAAATATAGGAAGATTTTAGTTTATCTCTGTAAATTAAGTGGCTTTTTTTCCTCTCAGCTACTTCTGTGAAGGTACTAATGGTTTCTCTGCTTTTGGTTGAGGAATTGTTTTGTTCTTTTTTGACCCTAATTACTCCTATATGTGATGCGTGTTTTCTGAGGCATAAAGAGCAACTGTGATGATACAGTAGTTAATTGCAGTTTATCTGGTGAGAACCAATCAATTAGCATGGTGATCTCCCTATAACTGCCAAAGGAAGAGATCATCCTGTAGGTTTTCATACAATATTCTGTTATATTTGAGATTAATGCAAACAATGTTTTTTCTTTTAGTTGGAGCTCTTACTGTAAACTTACTAAGATGTTCAAACTGTGAAAGATTTGCTCTAGTAAAACTAATAATAATTGACTTTCATAGAATCATAGAATGTTTAAGGTTGGAAGGGACCTAAAAGATCGTCAGGTTCTGACCTCCCTGCTAAGAGCGGGGACACCTCACGCTGGACCAGGCTACACAAAGCCTCATCCAACCTGGCCTTGAACACCTCCAGGGAGGGGGCTTCCACAACCTCCCTGGGCAACCTATTCCAGCACCTTACTGCCCTCACGGGGAAGAATTTCTTCCTGATGTCTAACCTAAATCTCTTCTCTTTCAGTTTAAAACCATTACCCTTTGTCCTATCCCTGCCCTCTCTGGTGAAAAGCCCCTCCCCAGCTTTCCTGTAGCCCCTTCAGGCACTGAAAGGTGCTATAAGGTCTCCCTGGAGCCTTCTCTTTTCCAGGCTGAACAGCCCCAATTCCCTCAGCCTGTCTTCATAGCACAGGTGCTCCAGCCCTTTGATCGTCTTCATGGCCCTGCTTTTGCTTGAAGGTTGAGGGACAGCTCCTGAATCCAAGAAAAATACTAACTTGCAGATTATATAAATTTTGTTTCCATGTCTTTGCTTTGTTTCCTTCTTCCATGGTGGTTGGTTCTAAGTCCACCTTTAATACAACTGGATAATAGTTATGTTCCTTGTTTATTATTGGTTAACTTGATGTCACAATTAACTGATGTTAAGTCACAAGGCTCACAGCAGGACCAAAAAGCCAGAAAGCCCGATTTGTGAAGGAGAGTGTTCTTTCTTATGCATAAGTAATAGCAGGGCTAGAATGTGGTCATTTAATTAGTTTTCTTTTTCTTAGTTTTTTGTCTTAATGTACCCTTTGTTCGAGTTTGCTCCTTTGTGAAAGGACACTATTTTTGTCAATGGCTTCTTAAAACCAAGAGCATCTCTTCTTCATCAGTTGTGCAGCAGGTGGCAGTGCTTCTTCCAGAATGCCTGGATTTCAGTTGAGTTCTCATGCTTTAATAGTTAGTATTCTGCAAACTAAAGCAGATGTTGGAGATGTGTTTGCAGTGAACTGAACTGTGTTAACCAGAGCACTCTTTCTAGTAACTGACTATCTATAAACTGTACCTCTAATACATTGTTTATCTGAGTAATTCCACCACCATCTGCTTGTAGTAGTCTTTCTCCATTGTTTTGATGGCTATGTATATATTAGATGTGTATTGAACAAAAAAAGGTAGTTCAGAATTTTTTTTTTCTTTTTTTTTTTCTTTTTTTTTTTCTTTTTTTTTTTCTTTTTTTTTTTCTTTTTTTTTTCTTTTCTTTTTTTTTTTTTTCTTTTCTTTTTTTTTCTTTTAATATGCAGAAGCTGTACCATCCAGTTGTAACACCAGAAGAGATAAGGCGACAGCCTTCTCAAGGTAAGGATGTTGTGGGGAGGGCAACTGTACTGAGGAAACACTGCCTACCCTACTGGCTAGCTGTAAATATTTAAGAAGTTTTCTTTCTTTCAGTTTCTTTTAAATTATTGACTGTTTAAAGAAATAAAATAGCTAGAAATTTGTCATAACTGAATGTATTGCCGCATCAATTTATTGTGTCCATTTCTCTCATTCCAAGTGCTGTCTGTTGTTGGGCACTGTACTTCAAGGCAGAAGCTGGCTGCTGCCTGGGTATTGGGTAGAAATTATCACAGAGCTAGCCACAGTAGGTTTTCTTACTTCTTTCCTTCACCACTGATAGAGGCAAGAAGGGGAACTAGATGGATCACTGACATTAGGCTTTGACCATTTTACATGAATACTAGAAATGCTTCAATCTCTCTTCCTAATCAGTTGTTTTTTTCAGGGAATTGAAAGCAGTTGTGTAGTACTCAGTGACAGCAATGTTGACTTTCCTAACTTGCAAAGTAGGCATCCAGCTTTACCCTGCCGGTGCCATTCATAAGGTTTGGTGAAGAAACAAAGCTTCAGTGTCCTAAGTTGGCTGCATGCTTTTGAAATCATTAAAAAGAAAAATTGGCTTCATCCTGGCTCAAACCAGGACAATTCCTTATACAAACTCCTTGGAACAAGGTGGTGTATTTTGCAGTTCATTGTTGGAACGTGCTTTCTGGAGGTTGGCCTTAGGAAACTGGAAGCTCTGCCTTGCCTGTTCTTCAGCGTTGAAAAATGAGGGAATTTACTAATGCTGTTCCATGTTGAAAAAGCATGGTTACAGAACTCTCACTATGGATTACTGCACTTAACATAAAGCTGGTGTAACAAGCAGTGGTGTTAAACAAAATTTTAGAAGCTGAGCTTAATCTTCCAGTTCTCACCCTGCTAATCTGCCTTCACTCGAGGCATCGTTTCCTCTTTGTATACAGGAGACATTGCTTCCAGAGATGTCAGCCTGTGCAGCAAAGTAGCCAACAGGAGCAGTACCGAGTGTCACTTCATATCTGGGTTTCTTTTGGTTTCTAGTGTCCAGATCTATGCTTTTCTGCAGTGAATTAACTGCTTCTTGCAAGTTAGTTACAGCCTGCACTGAGGTATTGCCTTTTTAGGTTAGGAAACAGCAAAGCCCTAGTCAAGATAGCATAGAGTTTCTGCTGAATTTTAGTATTATGTAGTCTTTGGGAAGTTTATGTATCCCAGTTTAGCAAGTACAGTGGCCAGAAACTAAAATGTTTAGATTACTCAATACCTTTCGTTTCCTTTTTTCATTTCCCTATGTTTTGGAAAGCCTTGAACACTGAGGAATATAATGTTGTCCATGTGAAGCTGAACTCCTGCAGGAAAATTTCATTTAACTGTGTGTCAGTCATTCTGCATAGCTGGAATGGTCCAAGTAATTATTTTTACTTAACTCCTTCCTTGCCGTTTCATAGGTCAGTAGTCTGCTGTAAGGATGCTTCATTCTGGACACATTATTTTAGAGAGAGTCCTTTTATAGTCTCTGTGGTGTGTTTAAAGAGGCTGCTCTTGAACTCTTTTTTCCTTCCAAACTCTGAATGATTGTGCAGTGTAGCATCCATGTCCATGCAAGGATTATGCATTCCTAAACCATATCTGACCAGCACTTTGGGCTTCATTAGCAATGATGATGACTAACTTCAAAGCAGAATGCTGTGTTTAACCCTGAAAGGGTTTAGAGCTGTGTCCACCATCTAGTGTTGTATCCTGCTGCAGGCATTGGTGAAACCCTACAGGAAAATAATAGTAATGGAGATGAGGCTGCTTAGTTCCCAGGAACGTACTTGCTTATCTGCTGATTTTAAGCCTCTTTAGATACCGTAGCATTGCAGACAGGATAATGGTGGAGAACATGCAAAACAGTTTTATAAGAACTTAAGAGTTTAACTCTTGAGTAAAAAATTACTGTTGCGTGCAAATCAGTAATAAAAACTTACATTATGTTGATCTTACCATATTGCTGCTGCAATCAAATCGATGCCAAACACATGCTGCCTGTTTCAGAGTTCCTCAAGGCTTCTTTTTTTTCTTTCTTTTTAACCCAGCAGAATTAATGTAGTTCATGTTGTTTACGCTTGGTTCTTTTTAATTCTTGGTGTTAATGCTTGGTGAGTTAAGCCAGAAGAAAAATGTAGCCCTTATTGTAAAAGCTGACTGGATGCTACCAAGCTGGAGCAGTAGAATTGTACCTTTTCCTCTCCTTAAAAAAGGTTTCTTTCATCTCATTTTTTCCACAGCTTTGTTTTTTCTCCTTCTTTCATGCATTTTTATAAAATGTAATAAGATCTTGAGAGATTTAAAGACATGTTTTATTTTTCTTTATTGCTGTTCTCTTCCTTTATGTCAAATACTATCTTTGAGTCTCATGTTTTGTATAAGCTGTAGCTTTCCTAGTGGGAAATTTGTGGCTTGCTGTAGTTAAGACTTCTAGACACTGCTGCATTTCGAGTGAATAAGAGTAGTAATAGTAAGATAAAACATACAAACTGTCATTTGTGACATTATAATTAGAGATGTGTTGTAGGTTTAATTTTTATATAGGGACTCTGCTGCTTTCTTGTGTGGTTTCTAGGAAGTTGGTAGCAAGTAATGGGAGTAGGGAATTATGTTTCAGAAGTTTATTTGGGCTCTGTGTTTTTCTGTAGATGCTTACATGACGGATCTGAAGCAGCTGACAGAATTGGCATCCAAACAGATCAGTGGAGCAATGAAGGTGAGATCTCTCTGTTCCAAGAGGATATTTTTTCTTTTCTTGATCTGACAGGATGTCATGAATCAGAACTTCTAACTCATCTTGGTTATAGTTTTGTATTAAAAAAGCCTGTGCATGTACTTTCGAAGCAAGTACATCTTTAGGTTTGGAGTGCTGAAGCTAAATCTGTACAGTATTCCCCCTCACACGGTGGTAAGGAAGATTACCCTGTGGCTATAGGAAATATTTTTACAGAGATTCTAGAACATGCAGAATCTGAAAAATAAAACATCTTACAAAGACCTGTACAGCTTCATACAACATGTGACATTTATTACTTCAATACCAGCTTAGACATGAACTGTCATGTTCTTGTGCTATTTAATCAGCTTAGAGATGTGAAAAAGGAAGATTTAAACTTGGCATACTCTTTGCATGGCCCCTGAGTTGCAGACCCTAGTCACTGTTAGGCTGGTAGCTCAGAGTTCCCAGCCTTCACCTGCCATTCTAAGAATCAGCTCTGCAGCCACTGAAGCTTTTGTGTGCCTGTCAGAATCTAATTAAAATATTTGTAATCATTACTTCTCCCATGTGACGTGAGATGCTTGGATTTGTTTTTGCAGTCTCTCCCAGTGCTAACAGAAAGAGCAGAAGGTTTCTCCCAAGCTTTAACGTGGCAACCAGTCTTGGAACTGTGCAAGCTGCGGCAAGAAGTCTTTGCTGGTTGCAAGGTGAAGGAGGAAAACCATGTCCAAAATTTCATATCACCAGGAGAAGTCACACCAACAGACGCTGATACAAGTAAAAATTCTTATGTTTTGCTAAAAAGAAAAAAACCTGTGGGGTCACCGGAAAGAAGATGCTACCCACTCCGACGGAGGAAAATTACTCTCAGCGCTTGAATTTCTCTTTCAGTGCTTTCAGACTGGAAAGTCAGTTGTACTCTTGTTCAGTCTGCTCAGTCTTTTTTCTTAAGCCTTTGTCTCTCCTCTATACATGGAGATATACGTGCTATACATGGGAGCTTCCTTGATTATTTAGCCTTTTGATTCTTTTAAAGATTCCTATTTTTACTGTTACACTGATGGCATATGAAAGCCTATGTGTAGTAGTAGCATCTGGTATCCAACTTATATTCACTGATGAACTCTCATTGTTTGCTCTTTTATTACAGCATTTAGCTTGAGCCTTCATGAGTTGTGCACATGCTTTATGCATGTGGGCCATCTCTTAGGAAACCGCTAAGTGCTCATTTACATTAAGCACGTCTCTAAAGAGGTTGGAGAATGTCTAGTTCTCCCAATGCACTTTCAATTATTACTGAATTGGGTGGCTATTTTTTTTTAAATAAATAAATTAAAAAGAAAGTAATACTGGACCATACTGGAAACACCAGATTTGATACAATGTTACAGTTGTATGAAAGATCACACACAAATGTGTTACATTGGTCCCTGCTCTTCCACCTTTCCTGAATTTAGGCCAGGTGGGCTTATTTATAGTCATGTTTGTTTAAACTCAAGATTTTTAGTTATTGCATATATTTACTTGCAGTGTGCTCTTCTGAAAAAGGAATTGACCATCCACATCTTAACATCTGATTTTGTGTAATCCAATTATGCAGTCTGAGGGTTTCCTGGACAACATTTCTACACATACCAGCATCTTGGGTCATGTACGAAATTGTGATGTTTGACTAAACTTTAAAGATCAGTATAGGCTACCAGTAAATGGCATTAAGTTGAGCTAGCTTACATGTGTTTTTTTTCTTTCAGATTAGTACCTAGGCAATTGCACAGTAGTACAGAATGGAGCCTTGTACCTTAACCATTCATACCTTTTTCTGGTTTATGACTGTATGTGCTTGCAGTAAATACTTATATGTAATGTATTTCTCACACAGTAAATGGAGGGATTTTTAGAAGCTTTATTATAGAAATGTGCTGTGGTAAGGAGATAGGTCCAACATAATGTCTAAGAGACAAAATTTTCAAGAAAATATGCAACAGATTTTAGCGTAATTTGTGTTATAAAGGTGAGCATCTGTATTGAGACTTTGTATATTTAATCATATGTAAATACTTGTTTCCCATCACTCTTGTAAATACAAATGTGTGTTTTTATACAAAGTAAATTAATTAAGAAAGATCAAAGTTTCAGATAATCTTGGTTCTGATCCTGGTGACTGAACAGTGGGTATCCTTCAGAAGGCACCTGTGTTACATTTTGGCTTCAGTAGCTGAAGTAGTTCCCTGTACCCCCTTTGAACTAACAACTGTTAATACTCTCATGGCTACAAAGCATCTAATGTGAGAGAAGACAGGATATGAGAGGGGCTGGAACTGTGAAGCTATGGAATGTGTGACTGGGATGGCTTTCCACACAGCAGCTTGCTATTCTAGCGGCTTTGAGTGCACACGCTCTGTGCTGGGTTGAAAATCCCCATCATGGCTTTCTTCACCAGCATTCACAGATACTCGTTAATCTGAGTGTTCCTAGACTAAGATGAGCCCTGCAAGATTCTACATGGCTATCAGTGTAGTATTTGAACATTTTCTATGTTAATTGGAAGGTTCCCTGCTATTCTGTGTGCATAATGGTAGTTAAGTACAGCAAATAGATAGGAATAGGTACATCCCTGAAGAGGTCCCATAAAAAGGGCCAAATTAGTACAAATGCCCTAAGAAATAAGGATGGGGAGTACTGTGGATTTAAGACTTAATAAGAAGATTACATAATTCACCCTACAGTGTCTGTTAGTGTTAAGAGATTGCAGGACATTAGGTCTGTGTGGGATGTGAAGGAAGAGGGAGTGGAGGCCCTGTGCTAGGGCAGTCAGGCCTTGTTGCAACACTCTTGTTTAAGCTGGAGCTGGGTGGAAAAAGAAAAATGCATCTGGAAGTGCTGGGCAGATAGTGCAAAGAAGGATGAAGAAAATATGGATTCCAAGTGCAGCCCACAAATGGAATTTATGCATCTCTGGTGGCCACTTTTGGCCAAGTGTCAATGGAAGGTGTCAGAGGACCTCACTTTAAATGCAAGTCCTGCGGTGAGCTAAACTCAACACTTGAATGCGCAGCTGTTTTTCACATGATTATTAAAAATTTCTACAGCAAGTTGTATCTGCAGCTAGCCGTGCCTGGGATCTGTTCTTCTGCCCACTGGCAGAAATAGATCAAATACTTCATTTTTCCCATTCCTGTAGCCTTTTGTCCTTCAGTTAACTTTTCATAGAAATCAGCAGTGTTGTGCAAGACAAGTGTCTAATCAGACTTGTACTGAAATGTCACAACATCCAAGCTTCTTATTTTTAACTTAGAGAGAATTGGTATTGCATCAATGTCTGGTAGTTTTTCTTTATATAGCCTTTGAATTTTGTAAGACAGCTCAATGGTGGTGGATGCTTGGGAACATTTGCAAACTGAGTTTTAATTTCTTGGTTTTTTGGGGTGAGATGAAACATCTCATTTATTAGTTTGTACTGTCAGTGATGTGCTTATCACTCCTGAGGGTAGGCTATCCCTACTCAAGAAAAAAATTGGCAAATAGGAGAAATATTTGCTGTGTGTAGTTTTTGAATTGAGGAGATAATGAACAGCATGCATGGAAGCTCCTCTTTCAGAAATCTACACGTGGACACCAGCGTCTGTTGGGAAGCTTGGGCATGCTGTGGTTCTGCAGAAGAGCTGCTCTGTGATAGGCAGCATTCAGCAAATCTTGTCTGCGTGTGTGTAGGCTGCTTCAGTGCAGACAAATTGCTGATAAACTGCCATTATAAAATGTAAAGTCAGCTGGCTAAACTGCTTTCTGGGCTTGTTTTCTCTCCTGTGTAGAAACACACTGCCTGTACTGCTGCACTACCTGGAACTACTGTGTAGGCATTTCTACAGATGTACCAGAGATAGCTTTAATACTAAGCAGAAACTTGTTCCCACGAGCAAATTTTGACTTTTCATTTCCTTTGCCTCTTTGAACAAGAAAGACTGTATTCAGACTGAAAGGGGGTGTCCCGTGAGTTGTCCCATGCTTGTGGGATCCTGGAAACCTTACTCTGTAGCTGCCAGGAGTTATTCAGTGAAGTAGTTACTTACTCAGTACTGGCAAGTACTGAGTAAGTAGGACATTCTGCTTGTGCAGTTGCAATTAAGGGCTGCATTGCTCCTAGAACAGCACGAGAGCTGGGGGGGTTGGGGGGGCAGTCTGAAGTCCTTCTGTGGAAAGGGGCTTTTTTTTCCCCCACAGATCACTTGAAGGGCTGTTGCATTTTGTCCACACGGTTCATTGATTTTATATATTGCATGAGAATATACCAGTTCCCCAAGCCTGTGAAAATACTGGCTTCTAGTCCTGTTTATTTCAAGTGTCCATAAGCTACACAGGCAGCAGCAAGGAGCCCAGTGCTCTCTTTCTGTGCAACTGTCCCAAACAAGTCTGTGCTCATGATCATATCTACCTCTTTAACTGCATGATGTGTACCTAATGCAAGACTGGACTGTTAAATTCACCTTCTTGTGCTCATCACCTGGAGGCTAGGGCTGCCCTCCAAGAGATGTTGGTTTGGATCCCCTCAGCTGGAGAGCAGCACTGAACCCACACCTTCTGCTGGTTCCTTGACCACCCCCTTGGTGAGCATCCTGGTGCCAGCATGTTGGATAACTGAGTAAGAGAGAAGCAAAAACTGCTTTTAAGGAAACCGAGGGGCTGGGAACATCCTGTAAGATGCTGGGGAGACCCAGTGCAGTCTGGAGATGCAGGTGAGGTCAGGGCACTTTGGCGAGGTTGCCCATCCAAGTGGGTCCCCGTGGCTATCAGGGTGGGGAAGGCTCACAAATACTCAGTCCTCCAGGGTCAGAGGAACACTGAGTAAGTGCAAGAGCAAAGGTGGGTGGCCTGGAAGATGGAGACACAAGCTGCTCTGAGGTGTTAACAGTGGGCAGAAGCGCTTCCCACTGGGGAAGTCCTGCTCAGCTTTTTCCAGTAATGCTGATCTAGCTGATGGTCCTGAATCCTACCAGGAAACCTGTGGCAGAACACAGACCTCAGCCTATTGGACTCCAGGGCAGCCTGATTTTCTCACCTTCAGCACAGTTAGCCAGATCTTCCTGAAAGGATAACCTATATGTACTCAGTTGGCAAATTTTGTAACCTCATCATCTAAAATGGATGACTCAAAACTTCTGGGGAAAGCAGAAAAATAAGGAAGTATCTGATTTATTGAGATACCTGGGCTTTATTGCTGCCTGCTTGCAGGCTGGGGGCCCTTCACCCTCCTCCTGTGGCTGTGTATTTGCCCCTGTGAGCTGAGCACAGCCAGGAGCGTGCATGAGGTACCGCGAACAAACGCACCTGTGGATGTCGTTTAAGTACCTGTCAGTGCAAACACCTTTCCTTCCTCAGGAGTGGAAGGCAAAGACAGCGGTTCGATCACAGTGTGGGGAAAGCGTTGGGAGGGATGAAAAAAACGCTCCCTCTGTTAAAACACTCTTGTCAGAAGAGCTGGATAGAGACATTCCTGCCGGCGTGTGTTCAGCAGCCCTTGCCCGGCTTCGCCTTTACGAGAAGCCTGTGGCATTTCCTTATTATTTAAAGGAACAGCGCGAGTAGCGAAAGTGAAAATCGCTTTGTCCCAGCGCCGGGGCCGTGTCCTCACGCCCATTAACCCGGGCTGAGCCGCCCGTCACTTCCCAGGAATTCCCGGCGCTTTTGGAAGCCGATGTCTCAGGAGCGGCAGGGGGGGGGCGGGGGGGGGGGGGG